TTTTTAAGAGATAAAATCTATCACAATCAAGAAAACCAGGTACTTGAACTTATCTTTGTATTCGGAAACAGGCTAATTAGTGTTGTAAGTTTTCTATCAAGATGATTGGTTTTCCGCTCTGTGTGAGTAACTGTGCTACATACAAGTACGGCCTTTAATAACATAGTTTGTCAATCCTAATTTTTGAAAAAGGCATTTTTTTAAGTCTAAGAGTTACACTGTATTTATTAAAAAGCTATTAATCAGAATTATTTTGCAGTGTATTAACTCCAATAATCGTGCAAATTCGTCATTAGCTCGTTCGCGCTTTATTAATCTTATCATCTCTAATAAAAAGACTTTTTCCATTCTACAAAACATATCACCTGTCACCAAGTTCTGATCATTTTGTATAGCATGGTACAGGTACCATAGTAAAAACCACGTTGTAGCTCGCCCCTAAAAACTCTAATTTAAACTAAATTAATGCTCGAACTCTTTCAGTTTCAGGTTGTCCTGTTTTAAGACAGCATCCGCTGTGCTTGCATGGATAAATGCTTGATAGCAAAGGGTTCAGACTGTAGAATCGATCAGCCACTGCACTAGTGGGCTGGGCTCAAATTACATTTGCGCAATACATTTCGAATTGCAAGAAGAGGTCTACCTCATTGAGTAAACTTCTAGTGAGACCACTCGGTCTATTACTAAAAACTTGACGACCTTCCTTTTTTTTACTGAATAACTATCGTAACGTCTAGATTTTCTTTTCAACAGCAATTACGGATGGTAATATTGGAGTTTTGAGTTGAATTACGCATTTTCAGACCTGTGGTTCATGGTTTGACCATCATCAATAGCACTTGTGCGTTGATGGCCAGGATAGGTCGCAGGTTCGAACAACTGCTCCCCATCATCGGTTAGTGTCCTGCTTACCACTACAATAACAGAATTTCCAACCACATCCCAATAATAACCTCACTTTATACCTCAAAACGTGCAAGAAAGCAGTTACAGGAAGTCATGCGTCTTCTCTGTCTTCTGGTAGCCCTAGTAGTTGTCCTTGCTGGGTATTGCTGTGGCCACACTACAGCAGGCACAACTAACAGGTTGTGAGCGTGGAGGCTGCTGTCATGGCGTTTGCAGCAAGAAAGCCTTCCGCAAGATCGGAACTGACTCAGGATTTAACTGGTCTCGCCTTGATGATTTTGGTAGCCGCTGGACCTATTGTCCTCTATCGCTTACTAGTATCCCAAAAATAAAACGAAAAAGAAAAAAGGGTAAGCCACAGCAATATTCGATGTACTTATTATTATGTACCATGGTATGTATTCTTGAATTCTCGCTTGGTAATACACATGTCACTGATAATGCGTGTCTGCAACGCGATGTGTGATCCAGAATAACGTTTTAAGCTCAGAACGATACCTATTCGTATTAACTAGCCCGACGTGAAAGTGCATTTTCGTCTTGACGAGAACCTGACGGAACGAAATACTTCGAAGTAAATGAAGCCCAGGAAGCTCTGCGTGCAAGCAGATCCCCGTGCGTATGAGCAAGCTCTTCTGGTCGAGTGTCCACTGGGGACGGTAAGTAAGTAGTCTACTTTCACGAAGGTATACAAGTGTGCATTTCTAAGGAAACGGCAGGGCAACTCTGAGTACCGTAATTATTTTGGAGAATTCTTATATAATATGTACAATGTCGTGTCTCCGACCCGAAGAAACTCCTCAAATTTAGGCAACATAAGTTTGGCTTCCGTCAGTTACTTGGCTGCTAGGTGTCGTAATTTTCTGTCGGGACGTTTGTCACGTTTGTAGAGTGTATTTGTTATTTCTACGAAGCATACGTAAGAAATGTTGATAAGAAAAAAAATTCTTATTGCCAATTAACATTACCAAATGTAACTAAAAAAAGAAATGATAAAAAAAAACTTTTACTTCTACATAGTAGTTTTTCAGTGGATTAATACGACTGGAAAATCTTGATGTGACGGTTCTAAGAAAAATGCAGCCAATCGAAATTCGATAAGTATAACCAGCTGTCCTGTTACAGGACGTAGCACAAGAATCGGTATGAATGCATATTCAGCCAGAATCGACATTGCTAGTCCAGCACAACTAGATGAATAGAGGGATGTACACCGGTGTTCTGCCTCGATGGCGTGGTTGAATCTGAGTCTTTTCTCCGGCAGAGTCTGCAGCCCAGGTAACCCTGAGGGTTGGCTCCGCCAAGATGGGGATGAAGAAAGATCGTCTGGCGTGCGGCAGTCGGTTCCCCGCGCAAGTTGCTGCAACGGTGCTTCGTTTGCCAACGTCGGCGCACGCAGCGGTCCGCATAGTGCGCGAGACACGCGTGGTGTGTAAAAAGCTCTCAACGAATAGCACAGTATTCGTTGCCGGCTTCAGTCACGAACGCGTTGACGTTGCTGCCAACAAGTGGCTGAAAGTTTTGCATTATGTGCTGAATTGTTTCTTAACGGTAGATAGCGAAAACTTTACAATAAATCGGGTAATGTACGGCCCTGGCTGGTTCCGTCGCGCTTTGAGGGCCACCATTCCTCAGCATGTTCCTTCTTCAACCTTCCACCCCTAACGGCGCGGACAGCTCTCAATAAGTCGCAGCGGATGGGTGCGGGCCGGTGCATCTTCAACCTGGCGGTGGATGAAGGCGTCCTCAGGCGGTGCGGCACATTCGTCGAACACTTCGGCAAATGAGGGGTCCCACCACTCCTCGTTGAATAAATTGCGCATTGAATCGCCCGTCGGAGAGCTCTTCTTCTCGGCTGACACGAGGTCCAGCTCGCGCACGTGGAAACTCGTGACCGACGAGCTCCTCCGCGTTAGCCGGTGCAGCTGGCGTCTGGGCACAACAGCAGCCGAAGCTGTACCCGCAGCTGTCCTCCGGTCCTTGGCATCCTGCTGCGTCTTGGCTTCCGACTCCGTCGTCGTGTGGTCCTCGTTCACCATGAGAAACTCGCGAATCAACTCCAGCGCGAGGCATCTGGAGCCTTCATTGTCATCACACTCGGGCGACTCCTCCTCATCCTCTTCATCTCCTATAAGACCTTGCGTATTCACCAATAGAAAACGCATGTAGCTGTCCAATTCCTCCATCCTCGTGGCATCTAGTCGTTTCTTAGAAATACCCAGACCAGACTGGAAGATGTGGCGATCAGGGAAGCGCACGCTGCTGTAAAAGCTCTCAAGCTCCTCACAGGCGCTACAGCTCGGATGTTGTTTACTGCCGTTGCCGGTGCATTGGCGCTGCAGTGCCTCATGCAGCGCGCGGAACTCGGAGTAGCGCTTGGCCACATACCAGTCGGCGGTGCCGCTACGACTCACGCGCAATACGTAGAGCGTGGGGCGGCGGTGTGACTGGTTCTCGCGGCCATAGGAGACGATCTTGGCGGACACAGGGCGCAGCGAGCGCGTCTGGAAGGAGGACGAGCAGCGGCTGAGAGTTTTGTCGGGTGTCATGGCCACTGGAGTTTGAAATCGGATAACGCTAATACCGACTTGAGCTCTCGAGCGACTCTTGAGAAATGAGGATGTTGAGGCTGGAGGCAGCGAAACGCAGGGATGCGCCAATGAGGAGCCGGAGCTCTTCTGATGCATGCATCATCACGAAGGGGATGAGCATGTCGGGGGCGCGCAAACAGGGCGACTAGCGCATACTGAAATGATTAAAGCATTTTTAGTGTTGATTTGCTTGGATTAATGCACTAATCATCTCGTTACATTGATCGGGTGAATCTCAGAATGGTGGCGGAAAGGGTTGGTTTTTAGTCTGGTGTCTGCGTAATGGAGGAATATACGGTCATAGTTACGGTGGCTGCATCAACTCGATGGGGAGCAATAGACAAGGACAGTGAAGTTGAGCTTTGCTTCAAGCAGCTTCAACAGTCTTTGGTGCTTTGTTGCACTTGACACCAGAATGGTGCTGCAGCTCCGGTTGTCGTAATGGCAGGTACAGATAACTATCTTAGTACACTGTGCTGTAATCATGCATTTCTATATTATTTTCACTATTTTAATACTATTTTGAAATGTGCAAGTGGAAGCAATGTGCTACTCCCTCGACCAACGGTGTTTTATTACCGGTGTCATCGACATCTACCTACACTATTATAAACAGCCGAACCAGCGTTACTACAAAGCTTAAACAAAGTACTTTTATTAGTTATTATAAACTGTCCAGCGTAAATCTCGATGTCAGGTCCTAGTAACCAACTTGAGTAACGACTTGTAAGTAAACTGTTCCGTCTCTTCGGGCGGACGGGGAATTCGGGCAGAAGCTACCAGGGTATCAGCTAAGTCAGTGCAATCGTGAGAGATGTATCATAACGTCTGCACGATAAAGCAAGACCACCGAACTGAATTGTTGCAGTAGTTGTTCTTCGGGCGACTAATACAGTGTGAATTTTTCAGTCAATAGTAGGCGAAAAGATCCTCCTGCTCTGGCAATATCGGAATCAAGCGGCTCGCGAGAATCAACATCCTATTCAGATTAATAAAGCGCGTGTTCGCGCGGAGCAGCTCTGGGTCTTGACAAGAGATGCTAATAAGATCTTTGTAACCAAGTTGGTCGAGCCATGATAAAAGGGAGAAATGAAGAAGAACGTGTTGCTTGGCATTTTGACTGTCTAGTAGTGATGCTCTAGTACTTACCCTGATTCGCTAGTTAATATACATGGTATTGATACAGTCTTGCTATGCAAGGTGCATCGTGTAGGTACACAAAACTGAGCGGGTAGCGACAAACATCGCAACCTGCACTCGCTTGCACGCTGCGCATTAGTAATATAAAAGCCGCCAATTCTAAGGAATCGTGCGGTACAAACTAGTAAGTTCCAGTCGAGTAGATTGTAGCATCTACAAATTCGTTCGGTCTTGTGCGACGAATCCTCAAGAGAGGTTTTTCTGGGGTCTTATTCAGACACAACTTGGTTTTAGGTCAGATAGTCTATTTAAACCTAAACTCAGACCAGGCGATCACAGCCCGATATAAGCATTGTTTGCCAGTGTTAGGTTGCTTGAGCCGACGGAGTGTTAGAAGTGCATATTCCTTTGCCGACTACTACCTTAGACACCCGCTGTGATCACGTTCGTCGCATCTATAAGGGTAATTTTGAATGATGGGAATTCATTTTCGACGATTCACTTTTATAAATAATGTTCCAACTTGTCACTTCCATTCGTACTTAAGTGAATTGTACGGTAATACCAAAATGAATTGGCAAGCTCTAGAGTCCAGGGTTCCCAGACATGGAAATAGGTGTAGGCTTACTCAGATCCAGATATTATGCATATATTGGTCAAGTGTTTGCCAGTTCTGCCATTTATGGCAGAATAAGTTACCGTCCAAATATTACGCAGGTATTGGCAGTCAAGATACCTGAAAAAGTCGTGTGTGCGCTACATGGGCAAAAGTCAAAGTGACGAGAGACATACATTGTCAGCATTCGAGATTACTGCAAGAGAATGCATAACAACGTGATAATACGGGTATTTCCCAGGAGGTATTATTGGTTATACTCCAGTATCTACGTTTTGCTTCAAGCGGCGCTTCACCTTCAAAACCGCTTGCGAAATTCCCAACGCAGCTTGCTTATATCAGACTTGGACACGTCCGTTGGTGCCTCGATCGACACGGAATTCCATAGCAGGAGACATGCAAATACATCGCAGCTGTCGCCATCCTGCTGCAAGGGGGGGTCCGTTGACAATGATCTTGTCACACGTTTCCGGTAGCGCAGCTACGGTCTCAGCCGCAATTGTCTTCAAGCCCATGCTGTAGCTTAATCTTCTTAGACCTTCCGTTGACCACCAAACACACCCAGTGGGCGCCACTCAAGTTGATTGGCATCAGCACAAACTGCCGAGAAGCCAAACCATTGCGAACTTGCTGTAGCTCCTGCTCCACAAGCACCGGCTCCGCCTTGGCCGGCTTCTTCGGCGGTGTCTTCTTGGCCGGCGGTATTGTCACCGTCGAGTTGTTCTTGTACGTTATCAAAAACACACAAAAGGCACCCATAGTGGCGTCATTCAACCATGGCAAACCTCGGATGCAGAAGAGATCAGCGATCGTGATGTTGAATCCAAATCCAGGTATGACCAGGTTTGGCCGGGTTTTCATGAAGTCGTCAATTACCACACTAACAGCCACAGGTTCATCCACCAGGCTCCTCACTTCGTTGTTCAGCCAAGCGCACAGCAACACACCACGACGACATACATCCCGCAGATTCCAGCCACTTCATCTGCTCCACCTGCTCTCTTGTGTAAGTGCCAACCTTTCAATGACCAACAAAATTTGGTTAAGGTTTTCAACTGGTTCCCATGCATCTTCTCTTTGTCCACCTAGTCACCAAATCCGCTATTGGGGTATTCAGAGTTATAGTCAATTTCAGATTTGGTTGCCCGACCAACAAAGAACAGACATTATATGGATTCAGTTGAGGATACTTACTGAATACCAGATCTCTGATACCAATTAGAAGACGAACTACCACAACAAAACTTGCTGTCCATGAAACCAGTTTTGTCAAAGCTACTCAACCCTCAATACCGCATACTATCAAGAAATCGTCGTCCAGAAGTGGGTAGAGGGCACGTAGGGTGGTGTGTTGGACGTATGTTTGTGGCTGTATCATGCGTAGGGAGGCGATAATTCGTTGTGGAAAGTGGCGGTT